ATAGATTTTGACGATTTTCTCAGTAGACTTTGTATTATTATTTATAAAATATCTTACGAAATTTATATGTTTTAGCTGTTCAAATAAAGGAGTTTTACAGTAAAATCCCATATCTGAACAATCAGATGCATGGAAGATATATGTTGTAGTCATCCTATCCTTGTTATTTTCACTGTAAGTATTCTGTTAATAATGAGTGAAAATGGTGCGAAATTTCATGTTCCTACCTGCATAAATGTAGGAGTTATGATAAAAGACCTCATATCTGAACAATCAGTTGTATGGGGGCTGCAGGTTATAGTGACCCGATCTTTGTTATTTTCACTGTAAGTCTTCTGTTGATAATGAGTGAAAACAGCGCGAAATTTCATGGTCCTAGCTACATAAATGGATGAATTATAACGAAAAATCTCATATCTGAACAATTAGTTGTATGGGAGCTATAGGTTATAGTTACCCGATCTTTTTAATTTTCACTGTATGTAAGTTTTCTGTTGATAATTATTGAAAACAGTGCGGAATTTCATGTTCCTAGCTATATTAATGGAGGAGTTATAACGAAAAATTTTATATCTGAACAATCAGTTGTATGGGAGCTATAGGTTATAGTGACCCGATCTTTGTAATTTTCACTGTAAGTATTCTGTTGATAATGGGTGCAAGTACTGCAAAATTTCATGTTCGTAGCTGCATAAATGGAGATGTTATAACGAAAAATCTCATATCTGAGCAATCAGTTGTATGGGAGCTATATGTTATAGTGATCCGATTCTTCCGGTTCCGACAAATGATTAATACATTATAAAAATACACCCACCTACCAAATTTGATCCGGATATCTCGAAAACTGAGAGACTAGATTGCATACAAACAGACGGACAGACAGACAGACGGACATGGCTAAATCAACTCAGCTCGACGTTCTGATCATATAAGTATACATTTTAATGGGTCTATCTCTTTTTGTTCTGGTACTTACAAACATCGGACCAAAGTTATAATACCATTTCATGCTCATGAAAGGTATAAAAATAGGGGTATATTTTTTTTCGATATAGAACAATCCTAGCGGGTGCCGGCATTAAAATTCCAACTTAATTTTTTAGACCACTCTAATGTACATGCATATTAATTCAAAATTAAAAAAAGCTAATATTTTACAAATATTTGTTTTCATGCGCAATTAGTATTAGTACACAACGTGTATGCCATTCGAAATGGTCGATTTTATTAAAAGTACAAAAAAAAAAACCTATTAAACACTGGTTTCGTCAAATATATATATATGCAAAATTTATGTTTTTGAACGTAGTAAACTAAGGCAAAAGTACTTGTTAGGCTGAACGCTTAAAGAAACCCCAGTCCACCAAGTGGTAGCACTTCACTCGAGCGCCAATCGGCATTGTGTGCCAGTCACTCTTACACAAGGCGACCAGACGGCCATGCAATAGCTCAGCCCTGCTGGAAAAAAATCTTAAAATGAGGAATAGTCTTGGAAAAATAGTAAATACCTAACAAAAACTTTTCTGTTTTTGCTAAGCGCTTACTATTTGTATCGATGGAGTAACGCATTACGATTCGCCTCAAGTCAAAACTTCTCACTTTCTCGTTTACTCACTGCATTACAGGTAATGCAGTGGGAAAGTATTTTTACATTCTCTCGCTTACTTCCAATTACATGCCCGGGTTAAAGTAATGTGTTTTGTAAACTAGAAGGTATGTGGTGAATTTCGAAAAGCGCTTCCCAATCGAGTTTCACCACTTACCTTCTAGTACAGGTAATGCAGTGAGTAAACGAGAAAGTGAAAAATTTTGTCTTGCGGCGAATTGTAATGCGTTAATTCATCGATACAAAAAGTAAGCGCTTACCAAAGAATCAAAGTTTTTGCTGGGTAGGCAGAAAATACATACATATGTACATATTTAGCTGTCAAGCAAAAATCTGTGGCATTTGCTCAGTATTTTCAGTTTTTAATTATGAGGTGCTGTAACGAACTTTAGCATTGGATTCTTCCTATTTAATTAAACGTGAATGCAACTGTTCAGTGTCAAGGGTTAGCTACTTAATACGAAACATTAGATGAAGGAAGCACTGGAAAATTATACAAACGATGATGCAGTGAGGCTAAATAGCATATCATTTTCCTTCAGGGACAGCACTCTACAATCAGACAGCGTCGCAGCTGCTGAATCTATCACGCCGTTGAAAGAGTCGCAGAAAGAGAAAATTGTGAAAATTGTGTGGCAAGAATCTTTCAACTATTTAATATGCACACTTGTACGAAGTAACTCTAAGGGTGTAAGTAGTATATACACACATACGTGTGTGCGAGTGTGAACGCGTAACTTAAATTATGCACAATATGCAAAATGAATGCATGAAAAGCTTTCATATTAAATTATACGAATACTCATTCAACAATTTCAAGGACGCAATCATGCAGCCGTATGAAATTTACAAATGCTCGATATGCGAATTACCACTGGCGCACGTTACATATGGATGTGTGTTTTAGCAAATTTTAGACGTTTTAAATTATATTAAAAATGATAATATTTTAAAATATGCAAGCGAAATTTAGGATGGGAATTCGTACAGGCGTATGAGGTCATATCTTTTGTTATTTTTGTGTAAATATGCAAATGTACAATTAACCAAAATATTTTCGCTGCGGTTTTGCATTTATAGCCAAAAAATATTAGTTTTCATATTCATAGCAATTCATGTATGTATGTTGCTGTGGAGGTGTGTATGCGCCTGTTTTCGGCGAACAGCAAATTAAATTAATTTTGGCGTTTACAAATTTGCGGTCACAAAACAAAAATGTTATGGTTTTTTTTTAGTTTTTCAACTCAACGCAGACATATTAATATAAACTGCTACAAATTATGTACTATTAGCTTATGGTATTAATCAAAAGCTATTAAAATTTATGACAAAAATAAATATTAGATATTTGATTCAAATTTTTTGCAATTCGCATGCATGTATTAATTCCTGTTTTTCTTACTTTATTGTGTTGTTACAGGTCATCGAGGAGCGCGTTGCCCATATACCCTATGTACCAACACTGCCGGAAGCCTACAATCAACCGACTGGGCACGAATTAAAGCCACGTCCGGTGGGCGAAGAAAACGGCATCGTGGTCTACAATTACAATCCCGTTAGCGCTGTCAATTATGTAAGTACATGTCGTACATATGTACATATGTATGTATGTATGTACATATTTATATGTATGTATATGAATATCTTCGCAAACGTTTAAAGAAATTGCATTTTTGGGGAGCACTTGTATGCTTAAATTTGTTGCACGGATACGATAACAGCCAGACAAACAAACGTGCATAATCTAGTCCCAAAGGCAATACGTATACTTGTAGTTTGGCTTGCATTTTGAATTTTATTTGAATATTTTTTTTATGTTATTAATTAAAAAATAATAATTTGGTACCACATCTTCGTCTGCTCCAGCCTCAGTCTTCTGGTTCCAAGATATTTCCTAGCCACATTTGTATTTGATGGCAAGTTCTGAACAAATGTTGCTCAGCAGCTGATTCCGATGGTGGCAAGGAAGCAAGGTCCGATTTTATTTTCATTCCCAGTCGTGAAAAAAATTTGAAGCGGAAATCGTTTAAAAATAAATAAATTTTTGCAGGGTATTGCAAGCTAAGTGCTTTTTTCATGACGTTTTTACTGGAGTAAAACACTTTTGTAAAGGTTTCAAACTTAAATTCTTATTTAAAAAGATTGAAGATAATATCCTATCCTATAATAGCCTAGCCTTCGAAGAGGAAATGGTTTTAATGAGAAGCATTTTTAAGGCAGAAATGCACTCGGAGGTTTGCCATTGCCTACCGAGGGGCGACAGCTAGTATAAAAAACTTTTTCTAATTGAGATGTTGCTCGGACCAGGGAGTCAAATTTGAAAGCTTTAGCATGTCTATATACATATCGTCGTTTAAAGTACAAAACCGCGTATCATCATTCTGCAAAACCGCGTAACTGACATTGGCTGCCAAAAATTGCATTTGCTCACACAAGCTCTTGGCTCAATCCTGATCTATTCGTCCTGAAATATACTAGCCAGAAATGCGATTACTTTATAAAAACGATAGCCATTATGAAATATGAGTGTTTTTACGCCCTAGAAAATAATTTCTACAACTTCACATACGCGGTTTTGCATTTTGTTGATACGCGGTTTTGCACTTTAAACGACGATATGTACATATGTGGTATAAAAACACAAAACCCACTTAACTATATATTTCAAATTTTAAACTAATAATGTTTGCTGGCGGCTGTGGCGCGAATAATAATGGTAGCTGCAACAGCTGCCACTAATTAGCTTGCGGCTCAATGAACTGCAATAGCACTAATATGAATAATAAAATCAGTTTGTCATGATGCAAATGGCAGTGTGTGTATGTTATGCGACCACTAATTGTTCGAACTATCGCACTTCTTTGCAGATGCGACGCCAAAAACAAAAATTTTAATTAAAAAACATATTTCAGTGTGTATGCGCTTGGTTGCGTGAAAAGCTAAATGAAATTTGCGCTGGTGGACGAAATTTCACGAAAATTTATATAATTATTAAAAAAAAATAAAGTAAATGATTGCTGCTGTTGTTGTTGGTAAAAAGTTTGGCAGCAACCCGTAACAGCAAAAGCTGTGCATAATACCGGAAAAACAAATGAACGGTTAACAGGCCCACTGTCGACAGAAATTAATTGTGAACAAACAACAAACAGAACGACAACAACACAAATACGAACGATAACCAAATAAAATGAAATTAAAATGAGATAAAATTGAATTGAAATTACACGCAAGTGGTGTGAACAAATAAATGAATTTGCTGTTTCAACGTTGCGGAGATGCCAAAAGGTACTTTTGGCCAGAGTAACGATTTGTCATTGCCATTGTCAGTGTCAGTGTCAGTGCCATTGCGACTAGACTGTACATGTCTGCATATACATACATACGTGCTCAGGTCTCAGGCCTGCCAACTACGACATAGTACGTCACCAACAACTGACTTACTGACCTAACTTAGCAAATGGCATCACTTCCATCGCTCGCACCGCCACAACCCTTCAGCTTCACAGATATTACACAATTTAAATTTTTTACCTTTTGCATTTGCAATCATCTGACAATGCTAATCGCGACGATGGCGTTAACGAACTCTTTTTTCTTTTGCCAATTAAATAGTTCTTTGGCAATTTTTACGTGTCTTCGAACTGTTGGCATGTCATTAGATGATTTCATGTGTTTGTCTTGTCTTGTCTACAATGCAAAGGTGACATGCTTGGTATTCACTTCCTACAACTTTATAGAAAGCAAAAGTTTTCTGGGGAGGTAATGAGAAGCTGCGATATTGGGCGTTACCTGCGACTCTTTGATGATCCCCCAAGTTCAGAAACGTCACTGTGGTATTGTAGAAAATAAAATAAATGAATTAAAAGAAAATTAAACGAACTCAGATATAATAAAAGACCATGGCATGAATTGGTATTGAATAATATGTATACATTAAAAAAAAAATTAAACAAAGCCAAGTTAAAATGAATTAAAAGAAAAAATATTATAGAATAAAATAAAATGGAATAAAATTATAAATGAAATGAGATGAAGTGAACTAAAAGAAAACGAAGGGGAATGAAAACAATTAATCAGCTTTTAAAATTTATCTGCCCTTTACATTACTAGACCGATTTGGTTCAGTACCGGGTAGCAAGCCGAACTTAGCCATAGTCAATAAGCTGCTGTCTATGATCTTCACATCTTCTGTTCTTAACCTTGGGTTACATTAAGCTTTTGATTTGAATGTATTTAATGTATTTATAATGGTAGATTAATAGGTATTTATTGTTTCAATTATCTGTTATAATTTATGTTTTATAACATTAATTTCAATTTTCTTTTTTATTTTTGTTTTTATTTCTGCTTCGTTGACCACTTCCATCAAACAAAACCGCACCAATCTCCTTCAACACCCCATTGCTTTTCAAAACACTCAGACATCGAAGAAGAAGTCTAGAGCGCAAAATTCATCTAGCGATTCGGATATATCTTCTTCGGAGTCACGTGGTTCGTCGCCCGACCGCAGCACGCCCGATCGTCGTAAGTCAAAACTGAAGAATTCGTTCACAAAAATGCTGGCCACCATTGAACGACGTTCCTCCAGCAATTCAAACGACGAATACGACGAGGATGACGACAACGACAATGACGATGCGGACAACGACGACGATGAGGTGACTGAAGTAAAACCGACCGGAGAAGTATTGAACAGAGTAGTTGAAGAAGAAGCTAAAGACGACATCGATGATATTTGGGCGAACAAATCACCCGAGTTCCAGCCAGCGACGCCTACATACATCAAAAGTCAATTTGGCAAAGACTTAACTGCCATTAAAGGGAAACCTTCTGTGCCAAACACTGACAATCTTCCCACACGACCTATTGCACCGGTAAAAATAACCGAACGCAAATCTGATGTAACTAGCACCTCCTCTGGAGATATAGGTTTTAGTATGAATAAGTCTAGCATTAGTAGTAGTGGTAGTAGTAGTAGTAGTAGTAGCTTGAGCAGTGAACTTTATTGTGAACGAACTTTGGACGGTGGCGAAGACGATGATGATGACAGTAGTAAGACATTGCGTGAGACGGTAACCACAACGAACATGAACATGCACCCCACGGCGGCAGTGAAATCAAAAGAGCAAAATTCAAAATCAATAATGCAACCTGCAGAAATATTGGCATGCAATAATCAGGGTTTCAAGTTCACCTCGAATTCCAAAAACAACAACAATAATATTGATAATCAAAATATCAATAATAAAATTGGCAATTCTGATTCATTGTATGAACTTCAGTTTAGTCGCTCAGCAGTTGGCGGTTCCAAGATCTTGATGAATTGTCATCCCTACAACGCGGACGATTATGATGGTCTGGAGTTTGAGTCACGATTCGAGTCAGGCAATTTGGCGAAAGCGGTGATGATTACACAAACCTACTATGAGCTGTATTTACGTTCGGATTTGTATACGAGCCGATCGAAACAATGGTTCTACTTTCGGGTGCGCCGAACTAGGAAGAATGTCATCTACAGGTGAGTGAGACTGCGGTTATGATATGTATATGCAATCCGGTGGTCCAAAACCGCATGTGAAAAAGTAAATTCGGAATTTTTATGCTCTCACCCCCTAGGATTTTTCTATACCGAAAAAAATTGTCCCCGTTTTTCTTTTTAATCAAAAAATATTTAGAGGTCGCTCAAAGCACTTCAGGAGATTTCCAATAATAATATCCAATTATTTATTTAACCACTTGGAGGGTCGCCATTGCCTGCCGAAGGGCGGCCGCTGTTAGAAAAAACGGTTTCTAATTTAGATGTGCTGCGTAGTGGTATGTAGTACGCATGTTTAACCACTTAGCACTTCCATTTTAATTTCTGCAAAAGTTCAACCCCATTCACATCACACAAGTCTGCAATAAGAAAGTTTGTTAGTAGTTTTTGGGGTGAATATGTGAATTTTAGTCGATGAAAATTTTCTATGATGAATTGGATAAAAAATTCAGGTAAAAAATCGAAATTTATTAGATTAAAATTGAGTGTAGAAGAAAATGGACGACGGTGGTCTGGAAAATCTTGTGTATCCCAATGATGAACCTCTAACCCTAAAAACCCAAGATACCTTCCGCTTACCAAATAAAAACCAATACGATCTTGGTAGACGAATTCCATATTTCAAGAGATTCGGCCGCCGTGCGTAAGGCTTTTTGAAAAGTGTTATAAAATCGTGTTCTTTAAGTTACGGCTTTAAAATTTTTTAGGAAAATGTGTTTTATTTAGTATAAGTTTAAGTCAGTTAAAGCCTTTCTACATTTGATCAACAATATGTGGCCATGTGTTTTTGGTTGCGATTGTTATGCATTTTAAAAATGAAAAATTCCGAAAGTTAGGTAAGTGTTATATTGAATATTCATATAAAAACTTATGTATACACTTATTTTCATGAAAAGAAACATTGTACCAGCACTCTTTCTTACCGCCAAAAATTACTGCTGTACAACAGTATCCAAGAATTGTATTTGTACGTTTTGGAAGTCAGCGATATCTGGGATCAAAGTGGGCGCGTGTTTTGTTGTAGATGGCGGCGTATTTACATATTTCTCTCGTTAAATATTATGCCTTCTGGATGTTCTATTCGGTTTTTTGTTTTATAGAATTTCTCGTTTGAGGAAATTAGTAGAATTTCTTTCACATACACCTTTAAACTGATATTCATCACTTCATATATGTATGTCGAGTTGTTTCTGCTCATACTTGAATATCCCACACCCACTTGAGAATGGTATACATAATATAGACAATTATCCCCACTTGAAAGTCGATTGAAATGAAAGCTATTAGGAATCAATTTTCAATCATTATGTACTTTTCGTTTAATTGGAAACCGAGCAGTGCTGGCGAAACCAACATTTGCATATACCCAAGTGTAGTAATTCTCCAATTTTCCATTGGTCAGTGCCAAACAATTTAAAAAATGTGTGTGTTATTTCATTTCCTCTTTCAAATTGCTTCGTCCATGCTATTTGGCTGCTCATCGACAACGACGATGCTTGCTGCAACGTGACTCTGACGGCTTTATGATGCTGCCACTATGAATGGAAACGCGCAACTGTGCATCAAACAAATCGGCAAACTGCTGACCCGGCACACCACATCTCCTGTAACGCAATCACATTGTTAAAGATTTTCCATCGTGAACCTGGTCAAGTCTGATAGTCTGTACAACGATGGCATGCGTCCGCTCATGTATTCGACCATCAACGCCAAGCAGATACGTGAAGGCTGGAGGCGTTGTGGCACAAACATCGCCTACTATCGCAACGATGATGAGTGAGTTTATTATCAGGTGCAGCCTTGACGAGATATATCCTGATATCAAATAAGTACATACTTAAAACTGTATGTACGTACGTGTTTATGCCGTAGTACATAAAAGTAGACCGTAAAAAAGGAAAATTCCAATTTTCATGGCATTGCGTTGTAATCTCTTTTCACTTTCTGTTTCTTCCATCTCGCATCAACATGTTAATTCAAAATTCCCTTTCATTGTTCCCTCTTCTCCATCTCAATATATTTACATTTGACGCCGTAGCACCCCATCCGAGGAGGAAGACGAGAACTGCTCCTATACGTTAACATTTAATATTGAATTTCAACACGACAACGATACGGTGTACTTCGCCCACAGCTACCCGTACACGTATAGTGACTTGCAGGTGAGTATCTTGCGTACATATGTAACCAGCACTCGTACATACAAAATCACCCACAAAAACTCTGGTGTGGTAACTCACAAATAGCATGGGGCACTTGAGTATCCATTAAGATGCCTTCGAGTGTGGTCAATTTGTGTGTTTTAATTAATAAAAGTCATAATCATCATTTCATTTCTCGATTTTGACATAATTACATATTGTTGAACGCTTGTTTCAGGACTACCTAATGAACATACAGAAGGATCCCGTCAAATCGAAATTTTGTAAATTAAGACTATTGTGTCGCTCGCTTGCTGGGAACAACGTGTATTATTTGACGGTGACAGCGCCAGTAGCCGACGAGGAAGCAATGAGGGTGAGTGAACTAGCTCTTTTAGAGGATCTTAAGAAAAAAGAAATTTAGAGCTTCAGAAAACTTGTGTTAGAAAAACGTAGGCTCTCCTCTTCACATTATACTCCTAACCATAGTAGTATAATACAGACAAGGCTTATTAACTTTCCACCCACATTGTATGGGTACCAGGTCCTGCACTCCCTCTCACTTCATTAAGGCCAAATATTTTCCTTTGGTTTTTGTGTCAAATTTCTTTTCAGAGCTGTCAAAAAAAAATTTAGTAAGACGGTTGTCAACAATTATCCACGCGATATTGATAACCATAGAAAATGTTTTAAGGAACTAACTTCTGGAGCCACAACCGTGAACGATAAGCGACGTGCTGCTCATCTGCTATACACTCTAAAAAGTGCATGTAAAACTACTACTGGAAACTGTTTATTTTTCAACCGCAATCTATGTAAATATACGCACAAGATGTTCAAGATTTGATTTTGAACATGAGATGTTTAAAAAATACACATATGTATGTAAATATACACATGAAATGTTTAAAATTGCAAAAAAAAATCAAGTAAAAAATACATATTTTACTAATAATAACGATTAAGTGCTGATATTTACTAAATTTTAATTTTATGTGTAATTTTGCTCTACGCGACAAACTTGATATGTAAAAGTAATCAGCCAGTGTTAAATTTTATTACACGGTGTGTGAATTTGCACGCATTAGAAGAGGAAACTGGTTACCTCTCTTTATATGCGTAAATTTAAACAAAAAATTTTTAGAGCAAATTTTAAACATTTTATGTGTAAACTGTGAAATTGTGAACAATAAATGTTTAGCACTCAACAAACAAATTAGAAATTTGTTCTACGCCACACATGTGAAAAGTAAAAGTTAACAAGCAGTGTTTAATTTAGTTAACACGGTGTGCAAATTTGCATTAATTAAGAGAGGAAACTGGTTACCTATCTTAATATGCGCAAATTTTAACAAAATTTTTTTATAGTGTACAATAAAAGGCAAAAAACACGCCACTAACTTTCTGCGCCGAACAGTGGTTTAGCTGCGTACATTGTTTGGAGAAAATTAGAAGGAGTTGACGTAGGGCTTTAATTTTTCGTATGTAACCTCTAAGGACATAAATCGAGAAAAAAACGAGAAATGGGTGTGTTTGGTTTATTTTAAGGCATACCTCCCATACAAACCTAAACGTGTTTTTGATCGAAAATGGTGGTTCACCTATCTTAGAAAATGCATTATCTTCAGTGTTGTATAAAGATCAAGATTTAAATGAAAACTTAAAAAGATATATGTACTAAAAAAGTAAAAATAACCACTCATGCTCATATACCCGTATACGCCCCGTAGCACCATACGAAGTCAACTTACAAGTTTACTCGCACGCCTTTAAAAAAAAAACAAAAGCCATATTATTTAAAAGTGATTAAATATTGGCGTTTAAGATTTTTACACAGTATTCCTTATGCACATATATACTTCTTTCTTCCTGTATATAAAAACTGTAGAATGAATTTCGAGTGCACCAATAAAAGTTGTAGTTTCTCAAATCATAGACAGTTTTACTCAATGTAATTTTTTTTTTAATTTTGTGCGACACTAGTCTTATTACACTAGATTCGTTCGTTTTTAATTTTCACTCCTTTGTTTAGCACATTCTATAGGCTTTATGCTTTCGATTGGTATACATTAGACTGCATCACCAAAAAAAGTTGCGGATTTTCCGCCAGGATTACAAAATCTATTATATTTTAAGACGTCCACCAAAATATTTCGGAAAAATATAAAGATTTAAGTGAGCTGGACCGATTTGAAAATACCTCCAAAAATAATGAATAAAAATAGTTTCTTAAAGAACTTTTTGAAAAAAGTCCCCTCAGATGACAAAACAGATTTTACTTTTTTCAAAGATTGATTTACGAAAAACTTGAATAACTGGGCCAAAACTATTCTGATTTAGACTTATGGGATCTCAGTAGAAAGGTATTTTTACACTGTTGTTATTTCTGTGTGAAAAAAGTCATTCGGTTCTTTTTTTTTCAAACACCAACACATCTTAATTCAACTTTGAATGACGTTCGCTCATCCTACCTTTCTCTTTCATCCTTTGAATGAGTTTATTAGCAAATAAATAGAAAGGGTGAGAAAATACCTTTCCAATGACACCTCTTCAGTCTAAATCGGAAGAGTTTAGGTTCAGTTATTCAAGTTTTTCTTATACCAATCTTTGAAAAAAGTTAGAAAACAGCATCAAAAATCTCATCATTACGATTCCGCTCAAATTTTTTTAAAATTTTTTTCTAATATTTTTATGCAAATTTTTTAAGCTTGAACCGTTTTGTCATTTGAGGCAGTTTAAAAAAAAAAATCTTTAAGAAACTATTTTTATTCATAAAAAACTCCATTTTTGGATGTATTATCAAATCTGTCCAGCTCACTTAAATCTTAATATTTTTCCGAAATATTTTGGTGGACGTCTTAAAATATAATAGATTTTATAATTCCAATGGAAAAATAGTACTGATTTTTTTTTGTATGGGGAGTGATGCAGTCTAGTATACATATATGGAATTCGTCCATTAACAAATAATTTTACGTGAAAATTCAATTAGTAAAAAAATTATAGTTTAAAAAACTAAAACATCCCTATTATAATTGCCATTTGTACTGTCATCAGGTATGTAACTTGAGAATAGAAATCGCTGCATCTTTTAGGCGCATCAATATTACATAGTTACATCCCGAGCTAATAAAAGGAAGGTAAAAAAAGACTTACGTTACAAATAGTTTTGCACCGAAAACACATGGATAATGAAGAAGAAAATGCTCGAAGAAAACCAGATTTTTCCATATTTTGGACATTACACTAAAAATGATGCTGACTTTATTTTCATTCAGATAGTTAATCACTAATTATTTTATCGAATACTTTTTTTATTACCTTCAAAGTAAAACAAGGCAATCGAAAAGAAGCAAGTATAATGCAAAATATGGTGGCCCTTAAATATAAACAACCCAAAATTTCATGTTGTGCTTTTTCAATTTTCATTAATTTAAAGGTGTTTCAGGACTAAGTGAATCTTCATGTTTGAGATGAGATTCGTGCTAATATTTATATTGTCTGCTACCTCAGAGTATGTATGACCCAGATATAATAAAAAATCTGCGAAACCTGAGAAAAAAATTGTTCCCCTCGGTTTCGTTTTCGACGATTTGGGCCATATGCTTTTAAATTTATAGAAGTTATATATAGGGACCCGTGATTTTTTACTCCCGGGCCCGAGTATTCTGTCGACGACCCTGCTCGGGAGTACCTGGTAATGAGACATCCGACCATTTGGCCAGAGTTGGCTTAGACCAGGCATTCCTCGACCCACAACCAGTTATAGCACTCCCCACTTCAGCCATCGAAGCCACCATCAGAAACTAGGTGAATACTCCGCTCAGCAATGACTGGTAGCATCGAGGGGCTGCAGGTGGACAAAACTCATGTTACCTTCAATCTTAGAAGGTCCATCTAGGTTTTTGCTCTCACTGAGCAGACGGGTCTGCAGACTGTTCACTTCGCGTGGCACAAACATCTGACTGTGATAGGCGTACATGACAACTCCACTTGCCCATACTTGAGGAGAATGAGACGATGGAACACTTTTCGTGCTTCTTGCTTGCTTGGTTGTTTCTTAACGATTTTTCTAGATTCGGCCTTTCTCTATCTATTTTGATTTCTGAATTTAAAGTTTGACGTAAAAAGCTGTGTGGTTTTGTTGTTACAAGTTTTGTGTTTTAAAAATGTGAGTGATATATATTTTTCGCGTCGCTTTAAAACTCGGAGGGATAACAATTACAGTGATGCCATCAATGCAAATAAACTATTTTACAAATACATCACACGCAAGTTCACGAGTGAGCCGAACATGTGAGGAGTTTATGGTGAAAAGCATGTAATTAACGCTAGCGCTTGAAGTGCTCTTAAAAAATATAACTCCTCAGAGCAAAAGAGTACTTTGATGGCTTTACGCTCTCTGTTTTTTAAAACTTGCAAGTATTTTAGTAAATAGAACACAAGAAAATATTTAATTTTTATTTTTGCCACTCCGAATTCAGTTTTGGAACTCACCCACGATGCAAATTGACATCGTTAGATCTAATCTTCACATTTTTTGATGAGCTTTGGGAATAATTAAAAAAAATAGCAGCACCGAAACCAGTAAAATTTTGAAAGGGGTCTACGAGAAAAAAAGTTTAGGTACCTCTGATCTACACAGATGGTTTAAAAATGGAGAAAGAAACCGGCTCCGACTTCGGAGGACGTACAGATCAGTCAGAATTTTCATTTTCTAGATCAAACATGGCTTTTCGCTATAGAGAACTGATGTATAGACGTAGACATCGCAAACGACTTATGCACTAAACAAGACGTTTGTGAGGTATCAAGGCCCTACGATTGGAAGGGAAAAAGATCAACAGATCTTCAGTAGGAGTTCTTACAAGCGAATTATGTCAGGAGGAATTAGTTGATCACTTTCTACAATCGAAGGGTCACGCTTTTTCATCGGTCTGGCGGAGAGATCGGAAGTAGCTCAGTCGGTTAATATTTTGGTTATTTCTCTTTGCAAACGAACATCGCTTAGGGGATAGCTTCCTCTTGACTTTCACTTATAGACGGCGTTCACAATGAACAACTATGCATCCGAGTGAAAGTATATAATTTTCCATACATGCAGTTTTACCACAACCTAAACTTTTGCTTTAAATTAGTTTACTTTGGCTATGTTATGGGAAAAATTGTACATATGTACATTCATTCAAGACTCTCTAATCACTAGATCCCCAAATATCACTTACTTCAAACGAATGCTTAATACGGACTCGGCTTTTTATCATATGAACAAGTTATACGGCTTGAGAGTTTCACTATTCATTAAGCCAAGGACAATAAAATCTATTTACCTACATTTGATTCATATAAAATAGTATGAAAATCTAAATTATTAGTTAATCTTTTGCTCTCATTTCTTCAGAAGACGCATTGTTTTTATGAGTATTTTTCCAGCTTTTATTAATTTTGCTCAATAATTTTCTATGCATTCATACTTCCTCTGAAAAAAATTGTGTACCTAATCAGTGCAAGATTAAATCCAAGCTAAAAATTTTATACCAGAATGTCTCCTTTTTTGCATTTTTTTGCAGAAAAAGAAAGCAATCGTAGTATCGGCGCGTGTGCATCCAAGCGAAACACCAGCCTCATGGATGATGAAGGGACTAATGGATTTCATCACCGGCGATACGTTGGCCGCCAAAAGACTGCGTCATCGCTTCATTTTCAAGCTAATACCAATGCTCAATCCGGATGGTGTAATTGTGGGGAATACGCGCAACTCGTTGACGGGCAAAGATCTAAATCGGCAATATCGCACCGTTATACGCGAAACGTATCCATCCATTTGGTATACGAAAGCCATGGTTAAAAGGTACATAAGTTCGGATAGTAAAAATCGCTAAAATGCTTATCATGATTTAAATATGAATAAATGAAAAACCGCACTGTGTTCTTTTCTTTTATAATTTTTCCATAAATTTTTTGCTTTCCTCTGGCGGTGCCAAGACTGATTGATGAATATAAAGTTGTCTTGTACTGTGATATGCACGCCCATTCGCGCAAGCACAACATTTTCGTTTACGGCTGTGAGAATAAACGTAATCCCGAAAAGAAGCTCACGGAACAGGTCTTTCCGTTAATGCTGCACAAGAATGTCGCTGATAAGGTGAGTAGCGGGTGGCTGAAGATCAAAGCGACGAATTCACTTTTCCCATTGCGAAAGGCGCATTGTTAGATATGATTTTCATTTAAAGGGAATAATTTTTTTCGGGTGAGCGGTTCCTTTTTTTCTTGTTTTCTCACTTAAGAAGCATAACCCAGATTTGGTGTGCCACATAATATTTCTTGTTGCTAAGTTTTCTGTTAATTTTTCTTTACCTTTTGCTTTGCGCTACATATCTACACAATTAATGTTTTCATTCCATGTCTGTCTTTTTTTTGCAGTTTTCCTTTGAAAGTTGTAAATTTAAGGTGCAACGCAGTAAAGAGGGTACCGGCCGCATTGTGGTCTGGATGCTGGGCATCACAAACAGTTACACAATTGAGGCATCATTCGGCGGCTCATCGTTGGGCTCACGCAAGGGTACTCACTTTAGTACGGCGGTAAGAAGATATACAAAATATTCAAAATATGCAATCACGTTTTAAATTAGTTCAGTTTAATTAAAGAAGTGTTTGCTAGTATGTGCAGCTAATAAGCAATGGCATACCACTGTTAATTACAATGGTGGCCAATAATTAGAAATGATTTTCTTTATTTTATATTTTTTTTTAATAAACTAATAAATAAGAATTGATGGTCAAAACTTGTAAAAGAAAATCGTTTCTAATTATCCGGCCACACTGTTTTCAACATTTTAATTATTTCAAATTACATTCATGGCATGCTTACATATGTTCCTCTGATTTTCTATTAGCATCAAGATCAGATCAAATTACATTCCTTAATTACACTGGATCACAAATTTTAATTTGGTTTTTGTTCCCCAGACGCCACTATCCAATTTCTATGTAGAATTGATTGGTGATTCCGGAAATCCAGTTAATTTTTTCTATGGAAACGTTTTCGAGATATTTGCAATTTACCGTTATTCAGCTTAAAACAAAAAGTGGTTCCACTTAATCACGTATGTCTTACAAACCAATTTTAAAATTTTAATATAAAGTACGGAAAATTAAAGCTAATGAAATTCTCCATAAACCGTATATACATCACTTTCCGATAGAGCTTATAGTTTCTGAAAAATTATCGATTTCTTTTTGTATCGGAAAGGTAGTGTCTCAGAGGTGGTCAAATACTAATCTGGTGTAGATCCGATCATTGCATCATGAAATAAATATATATTTTTTTATATGAGAATTGAAGACGATTTTGTTTTTTGCTTAAAAATTTGTATACCCTTGTGGTCAACTGATTAAGTTAAGTGACATTTTGTCCAGTTTTGGCTATTTTTCTTTTGTTTATTTAACGAAAGCTTGCATTTTGAAGCAGCAAGGAAAGAAGATTATAAATGGATCATTTCCAAATGGACTGAATTACTTATCTTATTTGTGCTCTTTCTATGCAGTGAAATGAAAAATTGCTAAATCCAAAGAATGAATACAAAAAGTTGCGTCAACATCGAACTCGACCTATTCGTGTGGAGTTAAGATCTGCTTTAAATACGCAAAAATTTCGTTATCAAGGTTTTGCAAAATATTTGAAGAAAATTGGTTCGGGATGTAAAATTTAAAAAACTGTATTTAACAAGTATTCAATTTGAGCTAGCGATATGAGTTATGATAGAATACATAAAGTTACATTTAAAATGTTGTATACAAATATTTCAGCTAAAGGCCACTGACAGTGATTGGTACATTTTTACAGATTTGTACAGTTTTTATATTGGGCTATTGGTATAAAAAAAAAAAAATCGGAGCCACCATTTTTTTGTAGTCACACTATTGGTACAACACAGCGACCTTCTATTGAAAAATTTGAACAAATTGTGCGGCTAAAGGTGGCTCCTTTTCTCCGCATTTTGTTGCCAAACTGTGAAACGAAAGTCTACTTTCCCGTGTAAACAGCCATAAAGTCACTTTTGTAGATTTGCAGAAATCACTTTCGGAAATAAAAATTGCAAGGTGTATCTGCAACTGAAATTACCCAAATCGCTTTCGAGAAATAGTTTCACCTTGCTCGTGCTTCAATAGCAATTTTAATTTTTGCTGCAATGCTGTCAAACCAATCGAATGTTGCCCAGTGCCGCAATGTTTGGCGAATTTGTATAAAAATACAAGGGTCACATAAGTAGTATAAAAAATGCTTATAATTAATTTATTCTTCTGATATGAACTATTTAAATATTAAAGAATTTTACATTTTGCGGCTGTTTTGTGCGCATTTTAGCATTTTTAACAAATTTTTCATGAGCACAGAAATGTCTGGTAACACAGTTGAAAGTGGACTTGTCTGCATTCACCGTGTAAAAAGACAAGAGGTAGTATCCGAAAGTCGGATTTTCAGAAATAAAAACAGCTTTCGAAAGCCATTTTACATTCAAAGTGTAACTGCCCCTGCAATCTCTATTGGAAATTCTTGATTTTTGTTAGATTTTTGAAAAGGACTTGCACTTGCCACGTCTAACAGCCACTTAAGACTCATGGCTATCGTCATACATAGTACTTAGTATTTTTAATATTTTTAAGTTTTAAAATTTGTATAAGTAATATTTTTTAAATACATAAATACTTAGGTATTAGATCATTTTTTTTACAATGGGGCGCATTGTTTTTTTCGTACGAATCGAAAATCGTGAAATTTTCCAATCATTTTCTATACAAAAATTTTTAATTTTCGATTTGTTCGAAAACAAGAATACGCTCCAATCATTCGGAACGAGCCATAGAAATTATTTAAATATTTGCATACACTCACTTAGAACGAAAACATGTACGTATGTATGTATGAATGTATATATAGTTACGCAGTTGTGGCTCAACTATCCCAGGGGCACTCACCTTCTGATATCCTTGCTGAAAAGAGTGAAAATAATAGCATTAAGAAAATATCAAACAGCATATTATAACAATGAAAATACAAAATAAATAACAAGCAACATACTGTAGCGCATTGCCAATACTAAATATATAAGACGACAGGCCACATATGTACATTAGGGTGGTTTTTCATATTTTATAGGTCCGCCAAAAACCCCAGAAAATACAATGAGGGACCAATAAAGAATCTTTAGTATTACAAATTTTTCACATAAACAATTGGGTATTATTATTGGAAATCCCCTGGAGAGAATCAGAGTCTTCCGATCGAAGAAAAGTATGTTTTTCATATTGGAGAAAATCAATGTGCTTCGAAATCAACTACCCCTGCAAAAATCGTTGGACCATGTAGTCTATTTGTGGTATATGGGAGTACTTACAAAATTGTCCTCTGTCATGCTGTAGCGGACCAACTCGTGTCTCTGCCCCAGCTTATTGTTTGTTACCCGATAACTGCTCGTGTTTTAACGAAATGTGATTGAAGTTGAGCATTTGAAAGCATATTTGCATGTCTGGCTGTAGCTGAACGTGTAGAGATGCTCCATGTTAGTTGTGAGCTCCCAGCATGTTCGGGTTCGAATGCCGTCAGAGGCAACATGTAATTTTTAATTTTTGTCTTGGTTTTTATTAATTTCGAAAAAGCATCTGAGAAGTGAAGAACAAAAGCGTGTACAAACGAAAAAATATAACAACAATGCCATTGTTAATATGTTGGAGTAGTTTTGTGCTACTCTGATGTAATGCAGGGATGGAGTATATGGTCCTGCCCTAGGACATCGTAATGTTAATTGGACCATATTTTTTATATGAATTGTGGTTAATTTTGGAGTATTCCTTGGTCCTTAGGGAGTACTCTTTACACGCATGCATGGAGAAGTCGCGATTTTTGCAGGGACAGAACATATCGTTTGGCGGCATTTGCATTTAAAGCAGCTACATTTGTACATACGTGGAGGATGAGAAGCTTTGTAGACTAAATTTATTGGATGCATATTCGTTAATTTAAATATCTGCCGATTTACCATACAAGTTTTTTCTTAATTTCCTTTTTATTTCAAACCGATTTATGTACATGACTTCTAGCATTTTTGGAATTCAAGAGAGTGTAATACTGAAAAAAAGTGCAGACGCGAACGTTAAATTACCAAAAATACATATGTTACACATTAAAAACATTGCACATATTGCAAAACAACCGCTAGGCCATTTTGGCTGACACTTTGGTTTCCTCGAAAAACGGTGCCGTAATATTTATTGCGAGCGTACCATACCGAACGCTATTCTCAACACTAGTAGCGGTACCGCTTTTATGTAAAGCTAGATGAACGTAACGTAGCTTTGTGCTTTTTATTGTATAGGCATTCATTGCTTTCCACAACGTTTATTAGGACCTCATTCTCTTCGGTCGTCCATGCACTTTCCACTTTATTATTCAAAATTGATAGAAATGTATATTTAATGCTTTTATTTTGGTCAAAAGAATTGTAAACAAATTTTCTAATACACCGCAACAAATATGACGTTGCCAAAAAACGTTGATAAATACTTCTACACCGTCACTGTCGCCGTCAGAAATATTACGGTGCCGTCAAATTACGTTAGGGTGTGTATTGCCGTCATCTTAGCTGACATCTGGAAATATTTACATGGTAACGTTTTGACAACGTAAAGTTACGACCGCTATTTTACGTTACCGCTTTCGAGGAAACCAAAGCTTAACTGTGTGTGTAAGTACTTGGTTGGAAGAATACCCCTTTTTTGTTTGCAGGATGAGGCACCTTAATGTACATAAATATGCACACGTTATTATTATGTACGCTTATGTTCATTACATACAAAAATACATACATTTATATATAGGTATATTTCTCTAGCTTAGCGTGAAAATTTGCTAAAGTCAGTTTTTCAAATTTTACAGGAGAGGAGACAAACTTCCCAAACTCATTTTCATGAAATATCTGGCAAAAATTGGAATACATTTTTGTGTATCCAAAGCAAAATGTTCATTCGAATCGGTATAATTCGGTGTTAATTAAATTTTTCCACCTTTGAAATAATTTCCTTTGGATATGGAAAATTTTGATTTTACTGGATAGAAACGGACAGAAATAAGATATGAACTTCGGGCTTTTTGGAAGCGAGTCATTTCAAATCTCACTTGCTTCCTACATCAAAATGTAAGTTTTCATAAAAAGTGGACTTTACAACTTTTCACTTTAAGCTAGCGACATGTATCTAAATACGAATGTGTTTTGTTTGTGGTCCTCTTTGGGCATAATCTTCTTATCTTGCCTTTAAAGTAAACATAGGCACAAACACACAAAGAACGTAACAAACATGTGCAAAAAATATCTGACTAAGCATAAGGAAAAATAGTCCTAATGTAAGCAAAAATAAGGCTAAGAAACATTCAGTAAATAACGGGCCAATAGCGGTTGAGGGGATGTGATGGAAAAGAGGAAAGTATGAAATGTGCAAGCATGCGTAAAAGCACTAATGGCTTAAGTTTTACTGAACTTGACCGCTTAGAAATGAAAATGAACGTTGTCGAGAAGGGAAAAGTTTTGTCAAAGGGAAATGTTTGTTTTGTATAGAAAAGTTAGCCGAGCTGGCTTAAATAAGTATTATGTATGTACGTATTAGGGATGTTAATCCCGGGATCCTTTTTTAAGTGCCGAGAATTCCGAAATTATTTGCCAAGAATCCCGGGATTCTCGGGATTTGTAGTTTGCAATGGTGGCAATAATAGAAACGCCTTATGTTGACCAGTTTTTGCTATATTTATTTTGTTTATTTAATATTTAATATTTTTTTTATAAATGTCTAACACCGTGCGACAGGCAATTTTACACACCAAAAAATTAATATATTGGCGAAGCCATGGGCCAAATATATGCAGTAAAATTGTGGTTTTAGTTTCTCTCTGAAAAGTCCTTAAAAGTTTTATCCTTGAATATCCTTGAAATTTTGCAATATTTATTTTGAAAAAATTATATGTTAAGGACTAATATAAACTCGACAACGTCCTCGAATAAAGTCCTTCTAACTTCATTAGCTTACAAAAATAAAATTGATTAAAAGGGCATTTTCAATACCTATTCGTCCTTGTAAACCCAACAAATTTTATTTTTTTTTTAAATCCTACAGAATTTTCTCCTTCATTTGGTACCTATTTTTATTCTACATTGCACTGAATTTTTTAAATAATTTTTAGAATATATCAAATTTTTGAAATTATAAAGTTCTAATAAAAAAATTCTAAAACTAAAACGCAGTTTTACTATATTTGGACCATAGTGTCGTGAGTATATTGATTGCTTGGAGTGCTCTGAAATTTTTTTGTTTCAACCTGTTTCAATCTTTTTATCAGAATTTTAAGAAAAATTCTAGGTACGCACGTATATGGAAGAAAATGCCCAGCTTCATTTAAAAAAATTCCCGAAAATCAGCGGTACTTTATAACTGCAAGAAACTTGCATTTTTCGTACTTTAATTTAATGGGCTATAAAACTGCGTACCTCAAATTTTTCTAAAAATGCTGAGTAAAAAGTTTGAAATTTTGGCAATTTTTTTGCATTTTTATAATTTTTGTACAAATTTTGAAATGCGCATTTAATGCAGTTAATTATATGTAAAATGAGGTAGACCTTAAAAAAAAAACTAAATATTAAATAAACAAAAGAAATATAGAAATAAGGCGTTTCTTTTATTTCTGCCACTAGCATTATGAACTTCTTTCAGCCACACAATACATATTTTGACTTAAGTTTTTTTTTGCATCGAGCTTTTTTCGACATGGCTTAAGTTACTTTATCAGATATGTACACGCTAAAGTATTGTTAAATGCGTATAAATTTAATTACTGTCTTTTGGTTTGCTACTAATGAAATATTTTTCAACTTAAATAATAAAGTAGGTCTCAAACCCATTTATTTATTATTTATTATATGGTAGGATAGCTTCTCAAACTATATTGATGCAATTTTTTCATGTTAAGTTGTTGGAAAATAATAAATATCTAAATCTCGGGATCCCGGTATTGTATGAACGATGTCCCGAAAATCCCGGGATCGCAAAAATTGAAAAAATTAACATCCTTAGTACGTACATATGTTTGCTTACATAAAACGGAAAGTAATTAAAGTGACAAATTGCAAACATTTAAAAGTACTTGAAATTGAAAATAGGCGCCGTCAAGACTGAACTACTTTTTTGCGTTAAACTAGGTTAAGTTGAAGCGGCTGCCTACATTCCACATGGGAAAGACACACACTTAGACCCACTGGGTCTGTTGTGATACCAATTGAGAGCTCGAATTCGAACCCATCCGTTCACCTAGAAGTGGAACCAGTTGGTTAGGTTCAGAAAGCGCGAGAATTCGTGAATGCCTGCTTCACTTAGATCGGCGAGACAGACAAAAAAGTGGGGGTGAAATTAGCGTCTTCTCGCCCACATGAGGGCGGGCAGTGACAGAGGTAGTGCTCCACACTCTCCATTTCGTCCACACCGCGGCAACTACGGCAGAAGTCATTGGCCGGCGAACCCATTCTGCTAGCATGCCTTAATAGAGGGCCTTCTAACCGAATGAGTACATCGGATATTTTCTTGTCGAACCTAGGCAGATTTGTCGAGTCGTCCCACACATTCTTCCCACCATCTTCTGTTTGCCTTCTCAACAAAGCATGTCCTGAGCCTTGTCTTGCAGGTTCATAGGGATATGCGCGCTGCATGGGGTGGTTCTCTCGTCCGCAGCACAGGGGAATCTGAGTCGGTCGAGAAATCCGAGTTTGGTTAAGAATTTCAATTACACTCTTGGTATTGTGATTCTACTTCCGGAACAATTTCGTGCTAATTGAAATATCTTTCTGATATGAAATTGGCCAGTTCATATAGATTTTGTCGCTGAACTCATATCTGAAAAATATGCACAGCATTTTAAAATACATCTCTTGTCTTTTGACAAGCCGCTCAGTGTGCTTTTTGAACACTGCACGCGAATTAATCGGAGCGCTTTCGACAGAAGCAGCATTTTGATACGAAACAAAATGGTTTTGAAAGCTATAGTAAATCCCTTTCAATTGTGGCCACTGAGCCTCAATTACCCCTTGACCTTAAAAAAAATTGGTCGAAAGTAGTGTTCTTCGAAAAAAAAAAACATGCAAAATACGCGGGACTTAGTCCAAAACAAAAAATGTATGTATTTTTTATTATACTAGTATTATAGATTTTGAGACGAGCAACACGATTCCACTGTTCAAAATTCGAAGAAAAATTTGAACTCCTTAATTTAAAAAATGCATTATTTATTGCATTTTTTTCTATTTGCATGCAGCTGTGCATCCTTCACTCAATTTTATATCCCTCGAACAATAAGTGCAATTAAAGACCTTTAATTCGAGCCAAGTTATAACAATTTTATACCAAACTTCGAAACTGCTGTACTAGTTTTTACTCCGAAATAAGAAAAAATAATTGCGTAAAATGTCGAATGAAATTTCGAATTTTAACTTTAGAATCGTAATAATTTAGCTCTCAAAGGGCCTAGAGACTTCTACCTTGGCTTAAATTAAAGGTCTTGAATAGCACTAAAACTGACTTGTTTTGATAAAAATTGTGTGAAGGATGCAGAGCTGTAAGCAAATAAAAAAAATTCAATATATAAAGCATTTTTCAAATTGAGGGGTTGAAATTTTTTTTCGTTTTTTTAACAGTGGAATTGTGTTTTTCGTCTCAAAATCTATAATATGTATTAGTATAGTTTTTTTTTTGTCAAAAAACACTCTTTTTGACCAATTTTTTCAAGGTCAAGGAGTGATTGTGGCTCAATGGCAATATTTTTCCTTGAAAGGCAATTAAATTAGCTTTCAAAGCCATTTTGCTTCACATGAAAATATTGCTTCTGTCGAAGTGTTAAAAAAGCACACTGTGTACCGTTGAGCTAACTCGAATATCTTATTTTTCAGTCGAGAATTTTAAAATTACTACGGTGTGCCTTGCTACGGTGTATTTTTCTCAAAAACATATGACTCCAAACATATGATTTGTAAAAATATAATTCATTTATAATATAATAAAATAAAATGTCTATCATACTTGGCCGAGCTCACGATCCGGCCCTTACTATAGAAGTATAGTTACTGAAGGCAGGTCAAGAAAAGATTCGCTAAGCCAGAGTGCAGCTTCTTTTATAGCCACGACTTCTGCAGTGGTCTAGTAGCCTAAAGCAGAGATCTGGTGAGAGGTCTTTCGAGTGTATCCCCTCCCTACTTTTAGATTTACCCCTCTATTCTAACAGAGTCACAAAACTTAGCTCATCACTGTTGTGATTTCAAGTGCGCCGAGAAATGTGTCGCAAAAAATTCGATTTTGAGTGCTAGAAAAATACACAAAAATTTAAAAAAATTGAATTGAAGCGGCATATTTTTTGAGCGGCAAGCTTTGAGGCGCGATAGAAATCACAGCAGTATTTCACTTCGTTAGAGATCGACAGCTCCACGCCGTTTAAGGTAGGGATTTTTGTTTTCCATGTAAAGAGAACCGTGACCGTTTTAGCCGGGATGGCGTTCAGTCCGCATTCTCTAGACCAGGTTTCCACGACACTCAAGGCGTTCTGCAACAGTTCTCCCAGAATTTGTGGGTGTTTACCGGTTGCAGTTAGGGCACGATCATCGGCATATGCAATAGAGTAGGGTGTTTACCGTAAGATTCCAGAGGAGTGATGAGAGTACTCCTCCTTGAGGAGTGCCTTTTTCGCATATCTTGTGATGTGAGCTCCACCCATCTCCGAATATATAGGTTTCTAATTAAGGAGAACACGGACAAAGTCCACCAGGGATCGATCCAGTCCGATTTGGAGCATAGATGCTGTGATCGCCTCTGGTACGATATGACTATGACTATAACTATGACTAGAAAGATACCCTGTGTTAGCTCCTTGTATGCCAAGGATTTATCAATATCGGAAACGATTTTGTAGATTGCGGTTTCCACAGTTTTGCCTTTCGAGTAGGCGTGTTGGCAGTCAGATAGCTTCTTAGGATCCATCTCTCGCCGAAGGAATGTGTCCAGTATCCCTTCCAGGACCTTTGGGAAAAAAGACGAAAGACTGATTGGTCGAAAATCGTTAGGCTTCACATGAGAGGTTCTGCCTTCCATCGGTATGAAGACGACCTTCGCCCATGTCCATGCTTTGGGTATATATCCCAGGTTGAGACAAGCCTTATAGATTACCGTTAGGTTGGAGCATAATATGTCATATGCTTCTTGCAACTCCGCTGGGAAAATGACATCCAGCCCAGGGGATTTGAAAGGTTTAAAAGATCTTATAGCCCTATTCACACTCCTGTTGGTTATGATGGATTTCCCCGCCGAGAGTAGTCTTAGAGCCGGGGCCGAGTTACTCGGTATTACGGTGCAACCAGAGAAGTGTGTATCTACAAGTATCTCTGGCATATCATCCCGGGATGAAGTCCACTCGCCTTTTGGCCTCTGAATGTAACTGGGAGAAAAGGGACTTTTTGATAAGACCTTTCGTAACCGGTTGCCTTCCAACTGTTCCTCAATGTTGTCACAGAAGTTTTTCCATGATGTCCTCTGAGCGCTTTTGGTAGCTCGCTTGAAATTTCGTAAAGCTTCCTTATAGGAGTGCCACGATCCATCTCTTTTCGCCTTATAAAAAAGCTTCCGGCTCTCCTTCCTCAGGGTGGCGATTTCTTCGTTCCACCAGAGTGGCTTCTCTTCCCCTTTCGGAATTATGATAGGGCAGGAGGCAGAAAAAGCAGAGTTGCAGGCTTTGGTGATATGGTCCACTGCTTCCTCAATTTTTTCCGATGAATCTAGTCGACCGATAGAAGCATGCTGGAAGTCTACATATTCCGCTTCATCAGATGTTATCGGTAAACGAGACTTACTGTGAGAATCGCTCCTAAAACGGAGGTCCGAGAGTATACTCCTGAACTTGTTCCAGACGGTTCGTCTCCTATTTCTGTAAACGACTGAGGATGGTGGTTCGAAAGAGATCTTGAAATTTATGTATCTATGATCGGAAAACGAGTGGTCATTTGAGACCAAAGTTATCCGACACAAAATAAATGTCTAGTACCTCCCTTCTGTTAGGTGTTATAAAAGTTGGCCTTCTTCCGATGTTACAAATTGCTAAGCTATTTGAAAAAATAAAGTCGATAAGAGACTCACCCCGGTTGTTAGTGTCCGTGGATACCCACAGCGAATGGTGTGCCTTAAACTAAGAACATTAATTTTAATTTAAAACCTGTAATTCTTATAACCAACATTTTTAGCTATTTAATATGTATTGAATTTTTCATTGTTCTCCAGCAATCTCTTCTTTTCTATTTCCTTGCAGGATTACGAGCACATGGGACGCGCTTTCTGCGAGACGTTACTTGATTACGGCGATGACACACCAAATAAAGTAAAGCGAATGAGTAAACTTATGAAACAAATCAAAAAGATTAGAAAACGTGAGAAACGCGAGAAGAAAGCATTGAAATTGAAGAAAATGGCGGAACAGGGATGTATAATCGATGAGAAACTTAAGGTTAAGCGTACGGGGAAAAGCGTTTCCTAAGAGTGTTTTGAGTCGCAAAAAGCGAAAATTACAGCAACACTACATAAAAGAAAGATACAGTTTGACACTGCTGCCAGCTTCGTTCTTAAGTAGTACAGTAAAAATCGATGGAGCTGCCAGAGCTTTATGTGCTTTGTGATTTTCTTCGTAGGCCTTAAGTATTAACTATAATTAACCTGTTGGTATTACATATCTCTTATTTACAGCATGAGTTTGTAATTTTGATTTTTAATGTGCTTTTTTCAAGGCGAATATATACAAAGTGGTATCGGTTGAGCAAGAACAAAACTTTCAACAACATGTTATACGCACAATAGTACCCCACAAATACAACAAACACACAATTTTGACATTCAGAAGGACGCCGCGGCGAATTTTAGCAACACCGCCTTGTATAAATTCGCTATGTGCTCTTTTAGTTTTTTTACTATTTGATAATTTAACCGGGGGTTCAACTGTATTTTTATTTATTTATTCAATTCTTACGACTAAAGGCGCAGCATTCTATAATCTGCCAAACTCGATAAACCAACATTGCTTTACAAAGCTTTTATTGGATTATTAATTCTCTATAATATGGTATTAGGTTTCGTTGTATGAATACCCCTTTTATGATTTTATAGTGCTTAACTTTAATTGCTCATGTTCAACCACAGATGTCAACGTGAAATAATATAAAACAAAACTTGTGAAAACCGGAACTCATGAGAAGCTCTCTGTATTGGTCATAAAAATGTTAATTCTACCTTTCGTTGTTTCCTCATTTACTTCGAAAAGTCAGATGAGCTGTAGGACGCAAAAGTTGGCATTCAGAAAAATCTGCAAACATTTTTTTACGTACAATTTTTGCCTGGAAAATCCGGAATATTTTTCAAGGTTTTAAATTTTATTCGCTTTGACTAGAAAATATTTAATTTGTGAATATAAGGGTTAATCTTTCTTCAACAAACAGTGAAAACTTCCGCAGCCTAATTCTGAAAACAATCTCCCGTGGTACTTCTTTTATTTTTAGCGAGAATTTAAGGAGATTTTTTACGTTTTTGTTTGTACAAATCATAAATAATCTTTGAAAAAAGTAAAAGCAAGCTTTGGAGAAAAATAGGTAACTAACTACATACTTAAACCGATGGCTATAATAACAGAAACACGACATTTGCACTAGTTTTGACTATTTTGCTTTTGTTAAAAAGTTTGAAATTTTGTAGAACCTTTCTTGATTTTTTCTAATTTTAAAATAAAGTTTTAAATTTAGACTTGCAGGGTTTTGGTTAGCTATCGACGTTTATAAAAAATAATTAACATTAAACAAACAAAAAAAAATAGTCAAAACTGGTGAAAACGTCGTGTTTATATTATTTTTGCTATAGGTGTATGTGTATATAAATACGCCTAAATATGTACAAATATGCAAAATAGATAATTTGAAGTTCAAAATTGGCTCTTCCATAACGTAGCAAATAAATAAATAGGTCTGCTGGTCAGCTGGATGATGAACAGCCTGGAATTTCGCTAAAATTATAAAGATAAAATAAACATAAAAGTTATAACAATCATATTCACCGTAATACTATAATGAGCATGGCCATAATTAAAAGTGTTTCTTAAGAAAACGTAATACACCAACTAAAAAAACAACAACAGAAAAACCATATTTGTACTAACAACGCAGTATTTACCAAATCAAGCTCTAAGAAAATTTCATTTCCCCTCCAACAATAATTGTTTTTATACTAACTTTGAGCTACTCAACGTTTATACAGACATAACAAACCCCGCTTCGTGCCATTTTGATCAATTTTTAGCCATTAATGCTATCTTCACGCGCTTTCTATGACAAAGTAAAACTCTCCACTATAAGCTTATTAAATAAATACATATGTACATATTTACACACATATCGTTACCTTTCGAAATTGCGCTTTGTACAAAAGTCGGAAGTTTAATCGCCCAGGACCAAAAAGAATTTAAAACCAACTACTAAAGCACTAAATTAGTTTTCGTGTTTATTGAAACCAGTGTTTTGACGAAATTCTCTCTGTTTGATTTTTTATAAAATTATTTATAAAATTATAACTACTCTGTATAGAAACAAAAATGTTAGGGCTTCTCTATATTAAGGTAACGATATGCATGTGTGTATATATCTTATTCCAGAATCTGTATATTTTTCCTATACCAAACACCTTCTAGTACATTAAAGAGCAACTTTGTTTAATTGCAATTTTTAGCTGCTTATTGCCATTCACTTCCAATGGCACAACTCACACATTTTAGCCTCATAAGAAATATTATTTTTAAATCCAGAAATTATAAAGTCATATTGAGATCCGAACACTTAGTTTATTTTACAATATATAATTTAATTTATGTAACTACAAAGTGGTTAAGTTAATTTATAACGAAAATATATTCTCACTGCTCTACTCTGTACTACTTTATTTAGTTAATTCAATTTGTTGTGTTGTATTTACATAAGTATGTCACACTTTATTTGTAGTTAATCTGTATTAACAAAATAAATAATAAATTTTAATTTTTATATAACACAAATTTGTACTTTTTTATTTATTTTTCGTATCAAAAGCTTTTAGTTAGCACACTTCATGGTAATTGAGTGGTGAGTAGTGCTAGAGAATATTTTTAAACTATATTTATTTGTTTTTACAATATTGTCTTTTATTTTTAACGTTCATTACACATTGTAGTGATTTGCAGTCTCACTTTAGTTGTTATACATAATCGAACTCTCAGACAATGATGTTTTTTTTTTTGTATTTAAATACGTCGGGCCTCGAAATACCCAGGGTATATTTTGCCATGAGAAGAATTTCAATTAAAATAATTCGCCGTTGGGGCAGCGTAAATTTTACCTACACACTCTTTACTCGAGAAAATCTCCGCAAAGTTGGCTAGCCTAGCCAATTTCCAATTTTTTTTGCAATGCCACATGGAAATATTAAGATTGGATCGATCTAAAAGTAGTAGATGTACCTTAAAACGTAGTTGATTCCAGCCCACGGACCCATTATAAAGCCCAAACTATAATAGCGCAGTGGCAGCGACAGTGGCACTTTTTAAAATCAGCTGTTACTGCTTATATTCGGTCCAATCCCGTATGCCACGGACTAAAACTAATAAAACTGTCAAAAAATAAAAATTCTCGCAGAGCGAGAGAGTAACACTAAATTTACGGTATCGCTTTCTAGTAAAAAACACAACTTCAACATAACCTCGAAATTTTGCTTATTTTGTAAGTAAAAACACCCAGCTCACGCATGTAAACAACCAAAAATACTTATTAATTCATTAGAATCCACTTAAATAAGTAATCTAATATTTTTCAACATGCATTAGCTCAGTGCAAGTACTTTTCTTTTGTTTACAATTTGGTTTCAAACACACTACAGCTATCGTTTGACACATTTTCAGAATTTACCAGCAAAAAAACGAAAACCCTTAACTTCTGACTAAGGTAGATATTTAGTACCGGGATTAGGGATCCCGAATCCCAGGAGTCCCGAGCCCCTTTTGGAGTCAAGCCCTCGGGATCCCGGGATATAATTTAATTTATGACCAAATGACATTCAGACACTGTAATGGCATAAAATAATTATAAAATGCAACCCTAAAGGAATCAATTAATATATTACAATTCTAACACTACTACTATTCTATATTGTAATATACATAACTTATATATGAAGCATTCTTTTTTCATATCGGACACCAAATTTGGTGTCACAATTTCATTTGGATTCACATTTCTCCGTTTTTTCGGGTATATAATCTGTCAAAGTTTGTACTTTTTCGTGATTCTGACTAATCATGCACTTCTTCAAATTGGTATATCTCGGGTTCTATTCATCGTAGAGACTTCATTGTTGGCTCTCACGAAATAAACAAAAAATCAACTTAAAAAAGTTCAACTGTTAATAGCTAAGAAAGCACATTTACATGCGTGGCTGTAGCTGAGTTTGCAAGGATGCTTGATACAATTGGTTGCTACCAAGGCTGTCCGGGTTCATTCCCCATCAGACGGAGCATGAAATTTAAGATTTTTGTTTTTATTCTTAATCATGAAAATGTTTGGGTTTCAAATTTAAACCGAACTGTTTAAATTCTAAACCCAACATATGTGCTCTCTTTTTTTAAACTTGGAAGGTTTGTATTTGAAACTGAATTTAGTTTGGTCATATATACTACACCTGAAAATTAAAACCGGAATTTTTAACCGTGAGCGAAAGATATAAACTTTTAAACTTTTAGTAGAAATGCCAACTTTAACAGCTGATACCTCAATGGGAAAACTCTTTAAGAAAATAATGAGTATGTACTTTTTTACTCTGGAGAATTAGTTTAGCGAAGGGGCAAAAAAATCGATTTATCGATACTCTAAAAAATTACTTTTGGCCAGCAAATAGTAACTGCCAGACTATAGTTCAGTGTTTCAATCTAATGGTCAAAGTTCAAAAGGGGCATATATTTCAAACAAAGTAATTTTAGTTTAGTTTTCCACCAATCGAGATGATTTTCACCGAGATAAGGACGTTTTTCTTTAAGATAGGCCTTCAATTAAGCTTTAACTTCACATTTTCTAATGCCTCCATATTCTACATCCGAGCCTTCGCTTTTACTGGAGGAATCTAAAATTATTTCTAGGTTGCTTATAAGACTTTTAGCGGTACTTGTTGAAGACCCACCAATTTGCTTGATATACTACTTAACCGTCTAGCGCCTGAAGCTAAAAACCGGTTATTGTCCGCACCCTGGTTAGACAGACTTAGAGGCATTTCAACAATATTATAGTGGACATAGTGTAAACATTCGCATTCGCAAAATATTCGTATCATTTGATGCGAATG